AAAATTAGACAATATTTTGACTTACCAAAATTGAATACGTAAAGTAGAAACAAAAAAAACATGAATATAAATTTGATGAAGACAAGATTTTGACTCTTTTTCCTTAAGACGATAATACCCCGCACTGGTACAAACAATTTTTCAGCATTCGTCTCTCAAGATATAACTACAACGTCTCATAATAGGAGCACTCCAAATTACGTAGACCAACGAACCTACTTATATTTTGAACACTCTTTATGAAACTTGACTCCAAATAAATGCATAATTTTGAAGTGAATATGCATTAGTATAATAATGCAATTATGAAGTGAATGAATAAATAAACACATGAGGTCTATATATAGGTGTTGAAAATGTTTGTCTCAAAAGACACAACTTGCGAAAGAGACACAACTCTTGAAATTAGTCTTCATATTTGAAGAGACACATCTTAAAAAATAATAATGCCAAAAGTCACGATCTTTTATATAGAATGATACATTTTTAGCCAAATAATTTTTAGAATATCTCATAATATTTTACGCAATTTTTCAATAATGCACGTATTTAAATGACTTAAATTTGGCTTAATTTTTCATTCACCAAATAAAAACTTCCACTTAAATAGTCAAAACCAATTTCATATACGAAATTCCAACAAGTGTTTCGACTACTTCAGTGATGGCCATCAAGTATCTTCATGATCATCGAAAAGCACTTCAAGAATTTAGAGGAAATTAATAGAAGATACAGTTTCTCAAAAAAAAAAAAATGTTGTCTATCTCATATGCTTCGTATATTCTAACTGATATCACAAATTTTGTCAAAAGAACATATGGTAACCCTAATTCATGATATAATAGACAAGATTTTAAAACTTCAGGAATTAATATAAAATGATGAAGAATGCAGGAAAAAGCCTTGAAAACCAAAATTACTCGCTCATCTTTGGAGGAGAAACGAGGCAGTGTCCCGAAAAAGAATTTGGACTAGCTGAAATATCTATATTTCTTCAAAAATGATACAAGTATAGACAAGTTATCACAGAATGCGTACAGAATTTCGAAAATGGAATGACATCATCAATACTTGAAATGGAAAAAAAAAAAACAAACAAACAAAATCGAGCAACAAAACCCGCAATAACATTACCCAGATGGTTTGAAGCGTTTTCCCATTTCCCCCAAATCCGGCGTCTCTTCCATTTGCCCCAAATCATCCAAGGAAATTTCTTCCCCATTTCTTCCAAATCACCCACGAAATTTCCTCTCCATTCACCTAGAACACTGTTCCTGTCACTACGTGAAGCGTAGTCTGGCAGCGAACGGGAAAATCGATGTCGCATTTAGCGAGAATCTTTGAAGCCGCAGTCGCTCCCCGCCATTGCCACGCTAAGAAGTTTTGTTTCTGGTATTGTACATAGATTTCCACATAAAAAATTTTAGTACGCCTTCGTTTTGGTTCTAAAAGTTTCAATTATGAAAATGCTACATGGATTTCAACATAAATTTTTTTTAGTACGCTTTCGTTTTGGTTCTGAAAGTCTCACATTATGAAAATGCTCGTAAGCTCATGTGGCTGGTAATGCCTAAACTGTATTTCTTTCCCCCTTCTGTTATTGATGTGAATCTTGTGGTAATGCCTTGCATATGAGATTTTGTCAGTAGTTTATTTATGTGTAATGGGAACGCGGCATTAAATGTTTCATCAAATGTTGAAATGAATCTAGTAAAAAAAGGAAAAAAGAGAATACAAGAAAGAGCGAGTTCTTGGATAGCTAGAGTGAAGACTGATGAGGGATGATAAATATGGAAATATGGTAATATTAACTCGATGCTTTCATTCCGAATATCTTTCCTAAGCTTTCTCGTTACTCCTCCCTATAGTGCTTAATTTTTACAATGGTATTGTGTTAATGTTGGCAATTGAGATTGAATACAGTTTATTAGTTGATGTGGGATTTTATAATTGAGATGAATTCATCTTTCTTCACTTGTTTTTGCAGCCTGGATTGACTACAATGAGAGGAAGGAATTTAGGAGTTTGTCATAGTTGCAGAAGCAATACTCACTACTTTGGAGAATGCCAAACAAAGCGCCGATGTCCTTCATGTAAACACAGATATCAAAAGTGTTTTGAGGTCGAATGGGATACTCATAACAAAGGCCGATTGTTCTTCACTTGTAGTAACGATTGTGTATATTTTGACTGGGTGAACGAAGATCTTCTAAGCGAGGAGTCAAGTTCCATTAACGAAGCGGTGAATCATGAGTCCAATGTTGAAGATGAAGAGTTGCCAAGACTCTTTGACAGTCTAGCTCGAATTAGCGAGAAACGAGGCGTGGACATATCAATGCACTTGAGTTTTAGCAAGGGAAAAGGCACACTGAAGTGCGAAGGGAAAGAGAAGGGTTCAAGTTGAACGGTTTATTTGAAGTTGCTTTATGGATGTATATGTAAGCTGTAGGCTATAGTTGAACTTGGTCGCTGTAGGCTGTAAGATATATGGATAATCTTATCAAAATTGTTCGATCGTTTTACATGATTCGTATTAGGTTTGTTGTAATATATGTCATGGTTGCTACAACTTTATGATAGACTTCTTCTCGTTTTTGTTTGCAAACATCTCGGTTGAATTGTTTAACTTTATGATAGACTAGTGTGAGCATTCAGCCTTCTGAAGAGTCATACATTAATAATAGGACAGTCGAGACAAATAACAGAAACACCTCCAACTCCCTCGCGCTTTGTATGCATAAAATAGAGTTAATTTTTCATCCAATGAATTTTTTTAATCTTTTGAGATTTTCAGAGAGAGCTCGCGAAGGAATGTGGGAAGGGACTACAGGAGTTCCGCAGAGGAAGAAAGGCGACGGGATATCACAAATGATGCTAAATTCACAATCGACAGCCATATCCATTAGAAATAGAATCATAAATTTGTAGCATATAATTCATGGTATGATTACAATCTGAACAAATTTAGAAAAACATTATTTTCAACAAGTGTATTTCAGCAGCAAAATTTAACCATCTATGCATTGTTCAAACAAATTCTTTATAACTAAATCCTACAACAACCGTTCATCCCTCTTCCTCTCAATTTAGCAAAGAAAATAACACATTCTATAAGTGAAAAAATTAAAATAGGCAGCAAACATGGTATGGTCTTTATATACACAGAATGCTTGCAATAATTTGTGTAGGACTATAATCACGATGCTCATGCCACATGCGGCTCATGATGCGAATAGAACTCTAAAATCTCCCGTCTACCCCAGATGGAGAGCCAAAACTTCCAGAATCACGAATATATTAATGAGAGGAGTAGCTAAACCTTGGATTTCAAACATCCTTCAAGATTCTCGAGTAGCTCCGGCTACAAGAAAGCTTGAAAGCTTTCCTTCCAACTCTTCAAGCAAATTATGGTATGCAAATGCTGGGTGTGTCTGCATATTTTTTATAACATGGCAAAACCAGAGTGAGCAACGTAAAAATGATTAAGAACTACTGTCATAATTCCATAAAAATCCGTACCTCTAGAGTAATGCTATAAGCTTTCCACAAAGCACTAACACAAAATTCATGACTTGCATGAAAGAAATATAAAAAACACTCTGATGTCTAACAACACCAAAAAATTAATTAAAAAACAAGTCTTCTGATGTCTAACAACACAAAATTCAGTGAACGGCTTTAAAGGATTTCAACTAATCAAAAAACACCATAAATTAAGTTAGCCACAAGTGAACCACACAACAAGTTTTCACAAAATTATCCCAATTCACAACCGATGTCTAACAACGCCAAAAAAAGCTAAGTGGACATCAATAAACAGACCTCACATTGGCGGGCGTTACTGTCATTCAACCACTGAAGTAAGCAATCCTCGGATCAATATTTGTCCAAAAAGATGGCAGTGACTTGCCTGGATTATGTGATAGATAAATAAAAATTTGGGGCAGCAAGAATGCAAAAAGATGGCAGTGACCAGTTGTTCAACAACACAATTTGTGTTAAATAATCTGTGCCATCAGAAGCCTACAAATGCATAAATTCAGAAAAAACTTGAAGCATAAAAGCATTGTAAAAGTCTAGTAGAAGACACAACAAATAAAGAACATTGAATCCGACAAGCAACACATGAATTTAGATTGACTTTTAACATAAACAAAGCATAATTGGAAGAACTGTCAATAGACTTATGAACTGTCAAAAACTTGCAACATCAAAATTCTATAAAGTAGTGTGACTGTTAACATAAACCAAGCTATAGATCACCAAAATGAGTTAATTCCAGTGCCAATATTTTTCTTCATTCGATCAAAACTCGAGACCAAAACTCCCTTCGATCAAAAAGTTGCAATAATCTTTTTCTCCCTTCCACGGCCACCAGTCAAAAGAAGCCTGTGGAACCTTCACTGGGCAAATGTTGAGAGTAGTTTGGCATGACATCACCTGAGTGAAAAGATAAACAGTTACAACGTCGCAATATACGAAATTACCAGACATAAATACGTACGAAACCCGAGCAATATATTACCTTGAGCATTGATTATGACATTTGTTGGTAGCAACGTCTGACTAGCATTGTAAGCCTAAATGGAAAAACACAATTTTAAGCAACTTTGACCGTGTAGCGGACCTAAAACAATTTACTCACCAATAGGTTTTTGTGACGATGATAAGGGTGACGGCCTAGAACTCTGAGAAGGTTGAGATGCCTGGACAGTTGGTGTTGCCTCTTGTGTACAACGAGGCCTAGCTGTCGATTTTTCCCCTTGTTTGACAATGAAGTGACTTGGATGTTTAGCAATAAAAATAATCATTTTGTGCATGCAAATTTTCATAAAAATAATTTCGAAAATTACCTTTTCCGATGGACCCTTCCGCCGGCATTTCGTAGGCGCACCCTTTCTGCTCGATGATACAAGGTCTAATATGCTGGTGGTGCTAGTATTCAGTGAATCGTTACAAGTCGAGCCCATGTTTGTCATATTTTGCAAACGGCCAGCGTTTCAGATACTCGATATCGACATCCGCAAATCTGATGCTTGAGATTTTATCCAATCCATTATACTACGGGTCCAACCATCATCATTTGCTGCGAGGTCTGCGACCTCTGAAAAAGCCCGACACATGTCATCATACCTCAACTGTTCAGGGGTACTCATCAATCCATCGTAATTTACTGCAACCCTTGTGTGTGCTCTACTGACATCTCTCATCCACCTCTTGAGTATGTACCTATCTGGCATTGTCGTAATGTCATTACGAATCAATATTGCGATCGCATGCCTGCAAATGATTCCTCGAAACTCAAATTGGCGACAACTACAAATCAACTCACATGACTCCCTCTGAAGTGACACGTGAAAAGTTTTCTTCTTCCTATGCTCCTGATATACAACATGTTCCCGCACATCGTAGGTCGTCCAAAAATGATCATTGGTATTTTCAGATACGATGTCACAGTATACTTTCCCGATGAACTCTTGTTGAACTTCCTTGAACTTCGGAATGGTGTATACTGCTTGAAATTGTTTTTCCATTTGAAATGCCGTTGCACAGGGCACCATTTGGGAAAATGACCTGAAATCGGCTTGGAACTCTTTCTCAACTTTACTTCTCAGTCCTCTTTCATATTGCTCCACGAACTGCTTCAACGAAGTCTTTGAATGCATGTACCCATCGAAAAATGCATTCATACTCTTAGATCGTTGGGTTGTTGACATCCCTGCCCAGAATGTAGTCTTCAAATAACATGGAACCCATCGATTCCTATTCTCATACAATCTCGATAACCAATCATTATCATGTAAGTCATATGTATCAAGCATCGATCTCCAACCTTCTTCGAATTCGTCAACAATATCTGAGTCATACACCAACCCATGTATAGCAGCAAAATTTGAGCTCTTCTGACTGAGGTAGCCAAACTTTTCTGGCAGTTTCTTCATAATGTGCCAAAGACACCATCTGTGCTTCGTTTTCGAAAAAATTATTTCAATGGCATTTTGCATTGCTCGATCTTGATTAGTAATGATCCCTCTGGGTGCTTCACCATGCATGCACTCGAGCCACGTCCTGAATAACCCCACAAAAGTCCCTGTTTCTTCATTAGATAACAACCCACAACCGAGTAGTGTATTTTGTCCATGATGATTCACCCCAACAAAGGGGGCAAAGGGCATGTCGTACTTATTTGTTATATACGTGGTATCGAAAGTGACCACATCACCAAATTCTTTGTAAGCTTGCCTGCATCTGTTATCTTCCCAGAAAACATTCTTTAGTCGTGACTCACCATCTAAATCCATACTAAAAAAAAATCCTGAGCACCTTGCCTGCATCTTTGAAGAGTACGCCTGTAATGCAATGGCATCTCCTTCTCCAAGGCGTAATCGTCTCTCTTGGTCAACATAGTTCCGACAATCTCTCTCCACAAAAGTCGTATTCTCATACCCACCTGCTTCCACAACTGCGGAGTTGTAGCTCTTGTGTAAAGGAATTCCTGCCATATCATTCACTTGGAGTTTTCGCTTCACACTCGCACTCAAAATTCGGTTGCATCGGTACAATCTAGACTGTGAAGGACTTGTCTTATGATTATGATCGAGGTACACTTTGTTAATTCTCCAAACTCCAAGATTATCTAAGGACGCGGATATTCTAGCTTTGCAATCAGTCTGACTTGTTGGTTGCGGCTTCAATGAACCGCCTGTAGCATAATTCCTTCGCCCTTCGCGACTACATGTGAAAGTCACGTATCTCATAACTCCATCATCACCTTTTTTCGAATTCCTTTTTCGAACTGGAAAGCCTACAACGTAAGCATATCTTTTGTAGAACTCCAACATTTCTTTCTCATCATTAAACATCATGCCTACCTCAGGCTCAGAGGCAACATCTCATGCTACATTTTCATTGTCCAATATGTTCAAATTATGCTGGATATTCTCGTTGTCACAGTCAGCCAACACATCATGATTCTCATCTTCCATAATTTCTTTTTCTGAATAGAGTAAAAAAATGAGAGATTTATAAGTACAGAGATAATAAAAAATATTTATGTACAGAGATAATCAAAATTGCAATATCATGTACAGCCAAATGAATATCGAATCAAAGCCCATTCTACTCAATTTAATTTGAATCCCAATATTTGAGACACATCATTTTTCAAATTAGACTGTGAACCAAAAAAAAAATTGAAAACCCAGGTGGTTTCTCTATATGATTAAACCATTGAAAGAGGTTAATTTAGTGTGATCTTCATGATCTTTAACCATGAAATTTTATGGGAATGTGAATTAGCAGGGAAATAATAATAAAAATTTAGCACGAATTTTAATTTAGCTGAAAGTTAAAATTTCTAAAATTTAGAACTCACTTTTAGATTATTTTTTTTTCTAATTGCTCTTATTTTACAAAAACTGGAAATGTCTTTCCTCATACTTTCTATTCCGTAAGTTATTCTTTTCTAATCTTATAGACACTCCAGTTTTTAGTTTTTTACGAGTCGAACAGTAGACTAAAGATGACCGCACTCAACTTTCATTTACTCAAGGAGTGAAATTATCAGTTCTCAAGTCCTTTTACCACGCCTCAAAAATTATTACTGTTAAAGACTTCAAGACGATTTCGACTATGGCAGATTACGCTTGGTAAGTTACGTTTGGTATCTTCTTATCTTTCAATTTTTCCCTAGTATTTCTTATTCAGCCATGTTTAATACAACATAAAGCAGGGAAAACTCCTTCAAATGACGCAACCCTTAATTGCTGCCCCTGTAGTTAATTAAAACTCAACATAAACCAGGGAAAACTCCTCCTCCATTGCTACCCACTTAATTGCTTACCCACCCAATAAAGCATAAAAGCAACCAATACAAGGAAACGCACAAACGGGAAGAATTTATGTAAGCAACATTTATATTTTGTGCTGGAGAAAAACTCGAAATCAACGAAGATGCAAGAATGAAACGAGTAATAAAAAGGGATTATTTTCTGGGTAAAGGGAAAGAGGGTTTGGTGACTGCAGATTTTGGACACATTGACAACCCAACAAAGAAGATGAAACAATACCTTTGTCTGCCATATTGGGTGACTGAAGATTTTGGAGTTCTTAATGAAAATGGCGTCGAGAAATGCTCGGAGATACGCTGGTCACTTCACCCGAAATTTTGGTCGGACGACACGAGTGAGTTGTCAGTGGCGGGAGTCGATGCCAATTGTGGGAGAAGAGTGGGCTAAAATGCTGTGCCCTCCCGAGTTTTTGTTTTCTTGTTTTTGTGTGTGTGTTTTTTTTTTTAGTGTGCCACGTCATCAAAATTTGAAAATATGTAGTGCTCCTGTAATGACTTCCTGTACTTATATCACTACTCATATTTCTTAGTTACTTTGTGACGCAATACAAGTGGGAGGAAGTAGGAGGAATATGTTGATAAAATTTCCAAGGTGGAAGCACCTAATGGACTTCATATCAGGGTTTCAACTCAATGACACGGAGGACAAAAATGTACACAAAAATAACATTAGTAGATTTTGATAAAACTAATGAAATGTGATTAAAAAATTGTGGATTTTATTAATTATAAATAGAATAATACTATCTAACACTAGTGATATGATAATAAGGGGTGGACAAAATGTCCAAACCAAACCACGTGGTCCGATTCAATTCGATTTAAAAATAAAAAAATTTATGGTTTTTGTTCTTTGAACTGAAAATCATTTGATTTTGGTTTTGGTTCAGTTCTAGTTTTAGACCCTACTTTTTTATTCATTACAGACATGCCATTAATTGTTTAAACCCCAATTTTGTATTCATTTGAATAATTTCTCTTTAATTCATTTTCAATTTACACAATGCTGCGACACTCAACACCGTATTTCATCACGTCAGTGGAGGAGACTCTCTCAAAATCGAAAAAATAGAATTGGCCAATCACTTAAAAAAAGCATTTAAACTATTTTTTCACCATAATTGTTTTATGAATTATTTGTAATCTTCACAAGTAGAGGAAAATTCAAAAACCATGCGCGAAGAATTAAACGATTAATGGTTGCCTATCAAAATGAATTATAAAAGTTTTGCATAATTCATTATTTATTACAGGTGTGTGCCATCAAAAATATTGCAATTAATTTAATGAATCACTTTTATTATTTATTTGATAATCTTTTTATATGGAAATGAAAATTAATTTGTATTTTTAGATTACGACTATATTTTGTTTATTAGTTTCGATATGGTGCAAGTCTAAAATTTAAGAAATGAAATTAAAACCAAACCAAATCAAACTAGAATCGAATGGTTCGATTTCGGTTAAGTTCCATATCTTGAAAAAATCTTTTGATTCCATTATTAAAAAAAAAATATTTGTTTATAGTTTGCAGATGATATGCCACAATGCAACCAAGGAAAAAGAAATGGCAAATTTGTAATGGGTTGAATTCAACGAGTTTTAGCAAATTGTTTATGACAATACAACCATAAAATCTCCAATTTTGGTTGAACTTAGTAGATTAATCAGTGCACTCTCATAGACTCAATAAAGACTAATCAACTCGATCGCTTGCAACTTTGATCAAAAACTCAGGAGAGCGAAACACAACTAATAGTCTGACAACATATGGAGGAATCCTCTCGGTCAACGAAAACATCAATCTATGAAAGGTTTAGACATTTCTCAAACAAAAGATAATGCTTGATAGGTAAGTATGTTGAGGTTGTCCTACATCGATTGTGGAAGAGTTGGTGGTCAGTTTATAAGTGTAAGAGAAAGTCTTACCTTTTGAGCTAGCTTTTGGGACTAAGAAGACTCAACACCACCCAACACTAAATATCAAAACCCAGGTTATCAACAAGTCTTGGGTCCATCAGTCATGGAAGATGTGGGCTTGTATGAGAGGGAGAAGGGTTTGGTCTCACTCATGGCCCGTTGCATGAGGGGAAGTGGGTCTAGTCTCGCGTAGGCTAGATATGTGAGGGAGAGATGGGTCTAGTCTCTTGCAAAGCTTGATGTGAGAGGAGGAGATTGTCGAAATTATCCCACATCAACTGTGGAAGGAGTTGAAGGTCAATTTCTAAGTGTAAGGAAAAGCATCACACTTTGAGCTAGCTTTTGAGGTTGAGAAGACCCAATATCACTCAACAAAGTATGCTTTCTTTTGGAACCCTAGTTGTAATTTCCTTGCATTCAACGAAATGTCCACTCCTGTAATTAGAATAAAAACTTAATTTCTCAAAAATAATAATAATAATAATAATAATAAATAAATAAATAAATAAATAAAGCAAGCTAATTGTGGAATAAAATTTTTATGAAAATAATATATATTTACTCAATTCAATAATCAACCTTTGAGTATAGCCAAGATCTACCTTATGTGTATGTGTATGTGTATACCATTCATGATCGATCAAACAAAGCTCTTAGGATTTTCAATGATTAAGAAGTAATCTCTAATTAATAGTGTCGACTTTAATTTATCTTTTCGATATGTATCACTAGATTAAGTCTAAAAATACTTAAGATACACGCAAAAACCTCTTAACCACTTTGAGTGACGATGTCGACAACAGAATACGTCAACTTTAAATAATTTACTCTTGGCACAATCAGATAATGAATCTAGTACAAGCTTTACTTGATCTTGTGGTACTCTTCCAGATCTTGAATATATATATATATATATTAATGGTGGTATGGTACACATCATTACCTATATATATCTTTATGCTATAAATTAATGAGTTTTTCAAATTAAAATATTTTCCATTCACATTTTAATATTGCAACTCGTGTCCACGCGTCCACGAGTTGACTCCACTCCTCATCGATCCATTCTCCCGTCTCTCCATCACAATTGTCGCCAAAAATTCCTCGTCGGTAGCGTTCACGACGTTGCACTGTAGCAGCGACGCTCTAAAGACCGACGTTGCTGCAAGAAGACCGACATCACTATAGGACCGCGACGGAGATGTTATTTTTTGCCAAAGAACGCCACTGTTGCGCGACTTCTGCCCAGGAACACCGTATGCAAGTGGCGCTGTTGCACTTCAACACGTCACCAAAACCACACGACCATTTATTGAGAACTATCCCATACACTTCTGGCAGGAGCACCGAGCTCGGGATCACAAATAATATTATCACCTTTAGGTGGTTTTGGTGACGTTGTAGGGATGACGGTGTGGTGATAGTGGTGCGGTGGATCTAGGTAGGATGGCGGAGGTGGTGATGGTAGCGACAGTGCTTGGGTTGGCAGTGATTATTGTGGTTATGCTGTGTTGGAGATGAAGGGCTAGTGGTAGTGTCGATGGCATGGTTGAATTGTTGGTGGTGCAAGTGCTAGCAGTGATGGTAAATTGGTGCTTGGTTTCAATGGTGTCGACAGTGTTTGTGACCAATTATATAGGTTGTTCGGTTGCTGTCATCGCAGTGGCGATTTTCGTGGTGTGTGTTGGTTTGTTTTTGTCGGGAGGTCGTGGTTTTCATGGTGGTAGTGGTGGTTGTGATGGTGTTATGGCCGAGATAACCAAGTATTATGGTGGATCGAGATCGATTGTTTGGCGTCTGTGATCAACTATTTGGTCCCCTCTGACTGTATTAATCCGCAACTTTAAAATTCAATTTTTTTGTAACTAAAAAAGTAATCTTTGACCATCAAATTTAAAAATATGTAATCTGTGACCTATAATTTTTTAAATTTTTGACCATTCGTAACATATAATTTTTTGATCTATGACCTCGAAATGATCTGTGATGTATCAAAATTTTGATTTGTGACCTTGAAAAAATCTGTAACCAATTAATTTGATTTTATCATCATTATTTGATAAATATTTTTAATTAATTAGTTAAAACCTAATTTTT